TGAGGTAGGCCGGTGAGAAGGGAGTTGCAGTAGTCCAGGCGTGAAATAATGGAGTGAGCGAGTTGTTTAGTAGTGTCTGGGGTTAGTAACGTACATATTTTGGAGATGTTGCGGAGGTGGAGTCTGCATGAGTTTGCCAGCTATTGGACAGTTGAGCTTTGTTTTACTACTTCCCCTTCCCTCCCCCACTCCTTTTGCTGCAAAGGCAGCCAGACAGCTGTGAACACAAGCTGCATGGCAAAAATTATCCCCACTGTACTGCCACCAAATGCAACACATGAAAGTGAACTGTGAGCCATTGTAGCTTAGTATTTCCATTCAAACAATCCATTCAGCTGTCAAAAAGGGGGGTTCAGGAAGTGTCTGCATCCCCTCCTTCCTTTTTTTTTTTTTTTTTTTTTTTTTTTTTCTTTTTCAAAAAGATAGATGCACATCTTTTAGCAGGTTAATAAAATGTGCATTTTTATTTATTTATTTTCCTGGAGCCTGTAAAGCATTACATCCGTGATCAGCAGATGGCGAGTGTAGTGCCAGACCCCAGCAGACTCTGAGGATAGTGGTCTGCCCATACCTTCTATACGAGCAGGCAGTTATTGAAGAACAGGAAGAATCCATGAACTAAGAGTGCTCATCGATGTCCTTGTAGTTCATTGAGATCTACAATCCATCTGCTGCAGCAAATGAGGATAGTTGTAGTTCATGAATTCACAGAACTCTGTAAATGGATGATGCGGATGTGTGGGCGGAGCCCCTCATGGTTGTGCTGTTTTTAAATTGTGACAGCAAGTGAGAGAAGATGATCTTCCTGCTGTCACAGAGAAGGGGGAATCTGGGGTGGAGGCAGCAGCTGGAACATGTTACATCCTAAATATGGGTGGAACATGTAAGATGTTCCAAAGGTGAACTTGGCTTTTAATGCCTGTCACTTGCCCCCTTGCCACTAGTTTTCACAAATAACTGCAAATGTGAAGAAATACTTCAAGGGAATTTCCCTCACACTGGAAAAATATTCTCTCGCTTTCTCTTGAGTTCACAGGACAGGAAGTGAAATCTTCCTAATGAGACACAGATGGCAAAAAAGCTAACAGTTTAACCCTTTCCTACTCTGTCCAATCTCTAACAGACTGCCTTGTCATGTTTCACATGACTGTTATATGCCTTTAAGTGTTCTTTGTATTTTCTCTGCTCCTCCCTTTCCTTTTGGTTTAGTTCTTGCTGTATAGATAGCCGACCCCTTTTCCCCAGTAATGCATTTCAGCTTCAAACCTCATGTCATGAAGCAGATCACATTATGATCTTTTGACCTGTCCGATGTTCATTGTAAGATTCTCTGTTTATGGAATAAACTTCACAAGATCTACAAGGTGTCATCTGATCGAGTCACTGCCTGTGTTATTCAACTAAGATTGGAGTTATCGCTATCTCATCACAACTGTAAGTTATAGAGATCACTCTTTCAATGCTTAGATTGGAGAGACAGAATATGCCTACTTCTCTACTTGGATGTGTACTGAAGAGCCTAAGTTTAGGGCAGGAAGGTTAATAAAAGGGAAAGGAGAGGCACTAAAAGCGGCACGTGATGCATGTGCTGTGCCGAATGGAAGCAATAGTTAACTGGTGGACATCACTGCTGCCAAATGTGAGGGTAACAGTGCTGAGGTTTGATAATGACAGGCCTACAGGGTATTACATTATGCTGTATAGGAATATGGTCTTCATTGATTTCCAGCTTTTCCACTACCATTTAGCACTCCTTTTTCTCTTCTAACCAAAACACATCCTGCTTACCAAAAGGTGTGACCATGGCATCCACACAGATTTCATTACCACAGTATGCAGCAATGCAGATCAAGAAAAGCACTATAAAGGTTTAACATTTTAACAATCACATTTCTAACAGTGTGTGTTCCAGCTGACCCTGCCTAGCTCAACAAAGAAATATTTGTGGTCTAAAAATTGTCAGCTGAATAGTGACTGCAGCCAATCCACTACAAACACTGTTTGGGGTTTCTGACAGCCATAGACACCAGTAGTCAGAAGACAATAGCTGGCAGAGGATATTCATGTTTAGCATGGATGGGGGGAGTTGAGTAAATGTGTATGGCCAGCTTTAGTCATAAACTTCGATCAGCTCAGGAGTTGCAGCAGGTTGTTTTCCATGTTCTCTACACTGGGTAGGATAGAACTCCTGTGGCTCTCTAGGCCACTAGAGTGGAGAGAGCATATTCCTCCCTCAAGCAGCTATCCTGGACCCTGCTCTGCTTGACAGGAGTGACACTGCAGTCACCCCACCAATCAATAGAAAACTGGAGAACTGAGCCTGGTAGGGAGTCAAAAATGTAAGACAATCTGTAGCCAAGATCCGACACGTTTCCAGGTATGGTAATCAAGCACTGCAGATGTGCCCATGCCCTTGCACAGACATATTTACTGCAATCTCTACAGGGGACACCCAAAGGACACTACCTCCTGGGAAAGAAGAAAAGAATAAAAACTCCAGAACAGAATGTTGCGTGACTGCAGATTTAGGTAACTATGGGGCATTTAGGTTGTGTGTTTTTTTTTTGTGGCAACTATTAGAGGTCGCTGTGGGAAGCGTTGAGTGTGTTTGGGGGAGCAGCCTGGAGCTTTAAATTCAAGGAGCAGGTTCTCTGACAATGAGCCAAATGGCTAACGGTGGAAAATTATCAGCTGGTGTTTCTCCCTTCTGATTACTGCTGGAGCAGGCCTGCAGTATTCCCTGGAAGTGATTATGTAAGTACCTTTTTTTTTTAATCTGTGACATTGAGAAGAGAAGTTGTTTAACTAAACTGCTGTTGTCGTACCGTTTTGATGCCTGGGCAGAAATTTTGGCTTTCTCTGAACACATTCCCACAGTAGAAAAGTGGTTTTGCAAATTTGCATTTCAATTTAGCTGGGAAGGATATCATAGCTGCAGATCTTTGTGTTCTTTTTATTATTTTTTTATGTTCTGCAGTTGCTAAAATGATCTTGGTGCACCCTCTAGTGTTACAAATAAAAAACCAACTAGACTACATTGAATTTGATGTGTTCTAACAGAATATAATGGTATAATAGAATGTTTTATGCTTCAGTATCTACTGCAGCACTGTACAAGGTGAGGATACCAAAACCATACCAGATATGTTTCATACCAGATACCAATTTGCAGAGCTTGCAATCCTACTTTTTAGTTGACAATTTCTGGCCTTCAGAGACATTTAAACCTATGTAAACCATGACAAATTGAAACCACAAAAATGAAGGCAAAAGTGTGATTCCAGAGTCTTGGCATATATATTGATGGAAACTATATAAATAAAGATATAAATCCCTAGAGATTGTCAGTAAACATGACAACATATTTTATATTCTTGGGTACGCTTTACTCTGCCATGATGCCACATGTGTAAAGCAAATATATGTAACATGGTACAATTAACAGAAATTTGGGGGCTGACATTTCTGATCAGTCCTCTGAAAATGTTTTTCTCAAGTTGTAATGCTGTTCATCTAGAAAAGGAAGCATTAGTGGTCTGTCTTCCTTTCCATCCAAAGAAAAGTGGAACTGAAGGCAGAATGAACTATCACACTGCTGATATACCATACTGAAGAACCTTCACAGTGCCATGGAAGTTCATTGAGCGCTACAAGCTGACAGCCACAAAGGCTGTCGGGACTTGTAGTCTTCCCATTCACAGAACCTTAGCTGTCACATTGGTGGATTGGGGGGGGGGGGAGCAGAGGCCAGTATAATTGTAACATGTTACACCCTGATTATGGGTGTAACATGTTACAAAATTGGGGAACTTCTCCTTTAAAAAAGAGTGCACACAGAATCTGGCGCAGTTGTGCATAGTAATCAATCAGGTTCTAACTTCAGCTTGTTTGATTAAGCTTTGACAATAAAACCTAGAATCTGATTGGTTACTATGCACAGCTGCACCTGTGTGCACCAGTTTTAGTAAATCTACCCCAATGTATGTATGGAACTAATAAAACCTGTAAATGCATCTTGTAGTACTGTATAAAAAAAACAAGACAATGTAAACAACCTTTGCTTGGATTTGCCTTTTATTCTAACGTTTTTCTATGTAAAGCGCATTGTAAAAACCGTGAAAAAAAAACAGATTATACAAAAAAAACTAAAGTGTATGGGCAGCACAGTGGTTAAGTGGTTAGCTCTTATGCCTAGCATGACATGGGTGGTCTGTTTGAATTCCAAACCACAGCACTGCCTGCATGGAGTTTGCATTTTCTCCCTGTGCCTGCGTGGGTTTCCTCTGGCACTCCAGTTTCCTCCCACATGCCAAAGACAAGCTGGTAGGTTCAATGATGTGTGTGTGTGTGTGTGTGTGTGTGTGTTTAGGGATCTTGGAGTGTAAGCTCCTTGTGGGCAGGGACAGCTGGTAATGTACAATATATGTAAAGTGCTGCATACAATTGATGGAGCTCTGAGTACCTGTAATAAATAAATACGTGTACATATAGCTTTATTATTTATTTATTTTTTTTTTCCCCCCTGGGACACAACAGCAAGTGCAAACATATCCATCTCGGACAGTTGTCAGCAGAACATTTTGTCCCCATTTGAAGATTTCCCTCACCTCTTGCTCATGACATTGACATAAAATTTTGATCATCCATCACTTTATTTTGGAAGCCAGTCTCCCCAGCAGGTAGACAGTTTAATCTTTGCCTACTCTATCCAAAACTTTAAAAATGGTTTGCCTTTTTACAAACCCTTCAACTGCAAGGACATTGGAGGCTACCACCACTATTACTCGGTAGTGTTTTCTCAATAAAAATCCAGTTTAATGTCCTCATAGTCTGCTTATCTGAATGCAGGTGTTTACTTTTTCTGTACTTATGTTCTGTCCTATTCCATTCTAATAGGTACTTTTTTGTTATTTTTCTTTTGTTCTCAGGTGTTTGGTTTGCTGGTCTGGGCGCTGATCGCTGGTTCCGAGTACTTCCTTTTTCCTGCCTTTGGCTGGGTGATGTTCGTAGCAGTGTTTTACTGGGTCCTCACTGTGTTCCTTTTAATTATATACATCACCAGAGCATATACCAGAATCCCCAAGGTCCCTTGGACATTAGTAGTAAGTGGATTTTTGCTTAGCTTCTTTAATATTTACTCAAAACTTTCTGTAATCTTCTAAATAGAAATGCCTTCAGGAGGACACAGAATGCATTTCACTTTTTCATTTTAATTACAGGTATTTGTATAGCACTGGAAATGTATGCAGCACTTTTACAGGCTGTACATTCACATTTTGTCTCTGCTGTCAAAGAGCTTACAATCTTAATGTCCCTAGCTCACATGTATATATTCACACACATACTGGGGCCAAGTAGGAGAGGAGCCAGTTAATTTTACCAGTATGTCTCTGACATTTGGGAGGAAACTGAAGTACCTAAAAGAAATCAAGCTTTAAGCACAGGTGGAACATTAATCCATATTCATTTGTAACATTAAAGTAACCTGATGGGATATAAATAATGGCACCCGCCTGTACTGGCTTGTTTTAAAAAGGTTGGGCCCATCATTATTTATTATTATTACAGGTACTCGCATAGCTCCGTCAATTTACTCAGCTCTGTGTGTGAGATAGATAGATAGATAGATATATATATTACATTCATATCAGTCCCTAACCCTTTAAGGGGTGTACAATCTAAGGTCCCTAAGTTTTATATTCATACATACACAGACTGGATCCAATTAACATACCAGCATGTCTTTGGAGTGTGGGAGGAAACCCCACGCAGGCACAGGGAGAACATGCAAACTCCAGGTAGGTGTCATGGTTGGGATTTGAACCAATGACCCTAGTACTGCCAGGCGGAAGTGCTAACCATATACCCACTGTGCTGCCCACATGCTCAACCTTTCTTCACTGCTAGGCAAGTTGGTGACCTAGAACAAGAATGTACACCTAAGGAGTGTCTGGCCATTCTAAGCTTGTAGGGATGTATGTTTCTATTCATGCACATAGTGTAGGGAGACACATCTCTAGCCCCTGCACGCAAGGGTGGCTAAGTAGAATGCTGCAAGAGAAAGGAGTCACAGGAATTCTGGGGCAGCAGCTATGGCACCAGGGTTGGACTGGGCCCCCTGGGCCTCTTGAATGCTCCATAAAAAGGCTGCACCGTGGGGAAGCATCACTGAGATGTGAGAGGAAACAGTTGCATGGAAGTAGCTCTCCACTACTAAACTGATCCAGCTGACGTGCTGCTCAAGCGTTTCCCCAGTTTATCTTTCTACAGAGCTGTTGTGTCTTCTTCTGCTTAAGTGTGTGTTTGTATTTTTTTTTTTTTTTTACACACACACACACACTGTATTGCCAAAAGTATTGGGACACCCCTCCAAATCATTGGATTCAGGTGTATAAAATCAAGCACCTAGGCTTGCACTGCTTCTACAAACATTTGTGAAAGAATGGGTTGCTCTCAGGAGCTCAGTGAATTCAAGTGTGGTACCATGATAGGTTGCCACCTGTCCATCCGTGAAATTTCCTTGCTACGAAGTATTCCATGGTCAACTGTTAGTGGTATTATAGCAAAGTGGAAGCAACTGGAAACAGCAACTCAGCAACGAAGTGGTAGGCCACGTAAAATGACAGAGCGGGGTCAGAGCATAGTGCAGTGCGCAGAAGTCACCAACTGTCTGGAGGTCTTTAGCTATTGACTCTGCAAACTTCATGTGGCCTTCAGAGTTTGGTGGAGGGGGGAATATGGTGTGAGGTTTTTTTTTTCTTTTTTAGGGGTTGGGCTTGGCCCCTTAGTTCCAGTGAAGGGAACTCTTAAGGCATCAGCATATCAAGACATTTTGGACAATTTCATGCTCCCAACTTTGTGGGAACAGTTTGGGGATGGCCCCTTCCTGTTGCAACATGACTGCGTACCAGTGCACAAAGCAAGGTCCATAAAGACCTGGATGAGTGAGTTTGGGGTGGTGGAACTTGACTGGCCTGCCCCCAACCTGATAGAACACCGTTGGGATGAATTAGAGCGGAGACTGCGAGCCATGCCTTTTCGTCCAACATCAGTGCCTGACCTCACAAGTGCGCTTCTGGAAGATTGGCCAAACATTCCCATAGACACACTCCTATACCTTGTGGACAGCCTTCCCAGGAGAGTTGAAGCTGTTATAGCTGCAAAGGGTGGGCCAACTTAATATTGAACCCTATGGACACACCACACATGTGTTTTTGAGCTTTGGGGTGCACACCCTAATGCAATAGGCTATGCACGCCTTGTGAAGAGAAGTAAAAAGCCCCCACCGGTGTCCTACCGAGTGCTGGATGAGGACCGAGCACAGGCCATCTCCCCGGCATGGATGGTGTATGCCATGTCCAAGCAGAAGCTGGCTCCGTGCCCCAAAGTTGTCTCTCTTCCCCCGGCCAGCCCTGACCAAGCCACCCTGGCTTTCCCCTGCAGCCACTGGCTGCCCCCTGCCAGCCAGTTCAGGAGCCAGGAGTTGGTGCAGCAGGCGCTGTCCAACCTGACCCGCCCAGTCAGCAGAGAGTGCCTGGAACAAAGCTTCAGCCTGGGATGGGGGTCAGAAGGAGGCAAGGAATAGGGAGAGCGGGAGGGGGGTCCAAGTCGCTGCACCAGGGGCCTCTGGGCTGTAATTGCCCCCTGAGCCAAAAGTTGCCAGTCAGCCCCTGTATGGCAACAGCTTAAAGAGGAACAGTTAAGAATTAAAAGATAGGCTGCATACTTAGTGATTAAATCAGCAGCTGAGTATGCCAAAAAAAACAAACAAAATAACCTGAAGCTGTAATAGCACTTTAAGGCCTTATTCACATGAGCGTACCGATTGTACACACATGCAATGGGGTTGTCTTCACCTGCATGGGATGCACAGGTTTTCATGCAGGCAGCCTGTTAAAATTAACTATAGGTGGCTGGCTGCACAGATCTAAATGCACATCCTGGTGTGCACATCCGAATCCTGGATCAGATTGCAATCTATCTGCATCCTAATCCATGCATCAGACCTGCACAGATGCACACTCCTGCACGTTGAGATCCATGCAGCCACCTGCTAGTCCATTGATTTGAACAGGCTGTCAAAACATTAAAATATGTAGATTTTATTTAATGATTGTTCTGTGCTAATTATTACCACTCCCTAATTAGGAAGCCCTAAAGTTCAATGCTATGGTAATCACCGACTCACCTTTAACATATTAAGGTGGGGTCCTCAAGAAACCCAACACACACTAACCAACAATAGAGGGTATAGAATTCCCTCAGAGAACAGTAGTTTGAAAGAGAACCAACAGCGGTGTAATAAAACCAATAACTTTTATTAATCACAAAAATTAGTAATAGACCTATTGGGTCAAAGGATCCTCCATTCACATCAATAAAATGGATAACGTTATCACTTTAAAATGGCCCAGGCCTCACTTACTCTGAATATAGCATAATACTACTACCTTACATCTTAAATGAGCATAATTCAGGGGTCAATAGACCAGAGTCTTGCATAGTGGACTAGCCACTCTGACCAGCAAGTCCAGATCCAAGACTCTAGAGAATAAACTCTCCAACCGGGACAAGGTCCACCATGGGTGGATGGCACTCCTAAAAGAACAAAAAATTGCAGCAGAATAACTCGCTGAGTTTGCCCAATATATACCACCAGATTGGCAATTTACATCCCATAAGGAATGGCAGTCACAAAAATTGTTAGTATTAACCACATTAGTATAATATCTCACAGTTGGGTACTGTATTGAATTGGCAATTTACATCCCATGAGGAATGGCATCCACAAAAATTAATATTCACTACATTGGCATAATATCTCGCAGTTGAGTACTGCATGATAGGTGACTTAATGGTCTGTTAATTCAATAAATCCACTTCATCTGATCGCAAGTGAATAGAGAAAATTTAAAGCATCCAGCTTCAATAGACATCAATAGGTAACCATGTCAATATTGTATGATGAAACAATGAGGGCTAATGCCCCTTTAACCTGGTCACAGGTATAGGTGATTTGATTATCTCCAAATCACTGTGTTGACATAAGTGACATTGATTTCTCACTTGAAATGGAGGCTAATAGCCTTGTAATGATGAAAGTAGAAGATTTATAACTCCAAGGTGATGAGACCAGTTCAGTCCCAGGTGTATAGATCTCATGGGTATTCAATTGAGATAAAGGCTTAAACAGCCTAATATTAAATGGTTGAAGGGTAAGTGATCAAGTATAATTGACTCAGTCCAGTTTGATCACCAGTGCAACAAAAATAGTGTCCAAAGTCAATATCGACCATTTATGGAGTCACTATGGGGTTTATTTACTAAAGCTGGAGAGTCCAAAATCAGACTCCCTTCTGCATAGAAACCAATCAGCTTCCAGGTTTCATTGCCAAAGCTTCATTGAACAGGCTGAGGTTAGAAGCTGATTGGTTTCTATGCAGAACGGAGTCTGGATTTGGACTCTCCAGCTTTAGTAAATAAACCCCTATGTGTCAAAGTGAAAAATCTGACCGTGTATGGAGAAGTACTCGATAAATTGCTGATACAGCCACTGAAAAAATTGTGCCCATAGGCTCTCACCACTCTATTGTTGGTTAGTGTCTGCACAGAACATCTGAGCATCCAACACAGGAGAAGACCCTTTGCACAGGTGCACAGATTCGCCCATGTGAACAAGGCCTAAAGATGTCAGGCTGAGTGGATGCACTGCTACTTTGGTGTATGCTTTCAAGAGAAACTGTTACAAATGTGTTATTGTAGCAGTCTGAATATGCAATCCTAATTATAATTGTGTAGGATTCCTATAGTAATTCATCCCCCCTATAGTAATTCATCCCCCCTATAGTAATTCATCCCCCATATAGTAATTCATCCCCCATAGTAATTCATCCCCCATATAGTAATTCATCCCCCCCATAGTAATTCATCCCCCCTATAGTAATTCATCCCCCATAGTAATTCATCCCCCATATTAATTCATCCCTTATATAGTAGTAGTAAGTAAGTAGCAAGTAGTAAGCCAAGTCCCCCCTGTGTCAATTCACTTACCTTTGCTCCGCGCGTTCCTCTCGCCGTATTCCCGCGCCGTTCCGGTCTTCAG